GGGTCAGTGCTGTGCCAGAGACTGGGCCAGGTGCTGATACAGCATTCAGCAAATGGACACTTCTTGCTTTCATGAACACACAGTAGTAGGAAGTCCTGATTTCAGTGGTCTTCTAACTGCTTTTGTCTGCATTTCAGGTTTTGTTTTATAATCATTTGCCTCTGTAGAAATTGAGAGAGTTACAATGTGGACTGTTGTTTTGATGTTAATCAATTCATTAATTTCCTATTTAGTTCTAAAAAGGATATGAAGTGGTTTATCAACAATGCACAGACATAGTATGACTAAAGAGTATCAAACAAGAAAAACAAACAGTATTTAGTAAAAGGGGAGCAGAGGGTAAAGATCTTCTTCTGAAGACTGTTACAGCAAGTGAATGTGGTACTCAGCTTGACTGTCAAGACAACGTGAGAAGACACAGCCAGTTTTAAGAAAGTCTTTAAGATAGGATGTCAGCTTCACAGGAGAAATCCAAGTTTTTCCTGGCTCTAAGTTTTAGGAGGAATTTGTCTTTAGAGCCTCATACGACTGCTGAACATGTTATAAAATATGAGAAACAGGCGTAATTGGAATGCTTCCCTGTACGTGCCGGCTATGGGTACTGATGGCAAGATATCTATTAGATTATTACGGATTGGAAGAGTGTGTGTGCACGTGCACACGTGTGTTCGTGATATCAGGGAGAAAAAGTAAAGTTTCCCCAAGCATTATTTCACTGTGATGGTTAAAAAAAATAAAAACTGAAAGAAGCCATATTAAGGTGACATTTTTCTCCAGTTGTTTGTAACAGGCATAGAAACCCAGAGGGAAAATGCATTCTCAGTAAGGCCTTCTTTGTTCTCCCACTGGGACTGGGTGAAGGCTAATCTTAGCTCTCAACCTGCCTTTCCCAGTTGAAGTAGGCATTATGCCAGCAAAGGAAATGGGAGCCCATGCTAACCCTAGCCCTGTCTTTTAAATTCTAAATCAATATTGGACAGCTCCCATCTTAGAGCAGGAAGACAAAGAATTTGGTGATGATGATAATGAGGATGATGACGACCGTGGTGGTGATAATAATAGATACAGTGTCAGGTACTATGGGATAGTGGGGGCAGGACTCTTGGAAGAGCTGGCATTTAAATCAGACCAGAATGGAAATTGTGTCGGAGGACAGATTACAGGCTTAAGAAATACAGTAAGCAAGTTCATGGAGGTGAGAGTGCATGGAATCTTGGACACCATTCTGAAAAGTTTGGAGTTCATGGACGATAGTTGGTAATGAAGAGTTTTGAGGAGGGCAATCCATGACATAATCTTCCTTGTGTTTAAAGGGCTCTTTCTGCCAACAGTGTGGAGCTGTACTGTCTAAAGCAATAGCCATTAGCCACCTTATTGAGCACTTGAAATGTAGCTAGTCCGAACTGAGATGCGCTGTAAGTGTAAAATACACACTGGATTTTGAAGACTTAGTACAAAAATATGTAAAAATACTTCAATTTTTATGTCGATTACAAGTTGAAATGAAAATATTTTGGATATATTCAGTTCCGTAAAGTATATTATGAACATTGATTTCATTAGTTTCTTTTTACTTTTTAAAATAAGGCTACTAGACTATTTTAAATTACCTACGTGGCTCACATTATATTTCTACTGGACAGCGCAGGTGGACAATGGGGAGGTCGGCTTGGTGAAGCAAAGAACTGAAGATAGGCATCTATAGCAAAGCCCTAGACCAGAGATGATGAGGGTCAGTTGTAAGGCAGTGACGCTGGGAATAGACAGGAGAGGACAGGTAAAAACGCTTTTTAAATAGGACTTGACACTGATTTTCCTGGATGTGGGGATTAAAAGAGGGAGGACTAAAGGTTGCATGTTAAATGTCTAGTCTGCCTAACTGAGGTGTTGGAGGATGGTTTTTAGAACTGGATGCGGATGGCTTTCAACAGGGATATGCAATGGGGAATTCGGATGTGAAGCTCACAAGAGAGGACACAGTGGGGTTGTAGATTGAGGAGTCACCAGCAAGAGGTGATAGTTGAAGCAGCACAGAAACGGGTGAGAACATGGGGTTTACTCATGGAGAGAAGGTAGGATGAGAGCCAGGCACAGAGGATTGCACAGAGGTTGGGGCTCCGAATTTAGGATGTGGAAGAAAGAAGAGAGGCTGGTGAACTTGACTAAGGATGGTCAGGGAGAACCCAGGAGACCCTGATGACATGTAGACCAAGGGAGATCTTTCCAAATGGAACACGTTTACAAATGCAGGAGGCAGAAGCTGTTGGGCCCACTGTCTCAGGGAGCCACTGGTGGTGTTTGTTGGGACAGGCCTTTGATGAGTCACCTGAAGACAGATGTCAGATTGCAGAAAATCGAGACTGAAGATAGCAGGAGGATGTGCTAATGGATGGAAAAAGCTAAGAGGGGGAACTGGTGCAGGAAACTACGTGAAAATGTTGCACCTAGAGTCTTTCATCCATTTTTTCCCCAGACAAATATTTTATAGCCACATATCCATAAGTCCATCTCTAGGATCTGACCTTTCCGTGAGCTCTGTCTGGGTAGGGCTTCCTGCAAGTGGGAGAGAGAGAAGGGAGACCCCAGCCTTGCTCTTGCAGACAACTGCCCTCTGGGGGTCTGCAGGGAGCTTGGACACCATACCTCCACTGTGGGCTTGGGGCTTAGGAGGCCGTACCTTCCCCGGCTGTATGAGCCTCCCGTCCGGGAGCCCTGCCTAAGGGTCCAGACCCAGACCTTATACTCTGGCATCTACCAGCTCTGCTCAGAGCCCAAGCCGAGTGGAGGCTTCGCATCCCTCCCCAAGCCCCGAGCTTCGGCTTGGGCTGCAGCGCCGGGCCTTCCCCGGCAGGGGCGCTGGGAACCCGCGGATGGCCAGCTCCCTTCTAGCGTCTGATCCCGCGCCCACCTCAGCCTTCAGCGCTGGAACTTTTCTCCGGGCGAGTGGAAAAGCAAGTTCACGAGGGTGGGGCTCCTGGGAACCGCAGGTGGTCTACCTCCTTGGCAGGCTCAGATTCCCAGGCACCTTCTCTGCTTCCCGCATCCCTCTTGGCCCTCCCCTGGCGCTCGTTTGCCTCTTCTTTGCTCTCCCCTTTCTTTTTGCACCAATATCTCGCCTTCTCTCCACCACTCCATTATCTCCCGGCTGGTCTCCCGCTCCCTTTTCTCTTTCTCTAGCTCCCCCTTTGCCCCTCACCCCGCCCCGCCTTAAACCTTCGCTCCACCTTTCTTTTCTTCCCTCTCCTTGCATTTCCCTCCCTCTCCCTCTGCTTTAACCATCTCCCACAAGGGAACTCTTCTGTCTAATCCAGAAGAGGAGGCCTTCACTCTCTCCAAGCTCCCTTCCTCCAACCTACTCCTTTCTTAGCAGTGCCTACTCCAGCTCCACGCGCCTAGGCCTTTTCAACCCCTAGGAATCCCGGGAGCTCCGCGGTGGCAGCGGCGGCAGCTGCACTACTTGCTTGTCCTCCTTGCCGGGGGGGGGGGGGGGGGGGGCCTGTAAACTGCATCTCGAGGCTGTCTTTGGGTTTAGCTTCCTCTCTCCAGCTCACCCAAAGTTTTCCTTTTCCTATGGGCACGAACGGTCCCAGCCCAGGCTGAGTTCCACGCACTCTGGCTCCGCTTCTGCAGCAGGGCACAGTGCGAACTGTTCATCAGGCCTGCGTGGCGCTGGGCCGGGGACCTTCAAGTGGCAGCCTGACACTTTGAACGAACTGAGCCCTTTCAGAGATTAATCTAAGGAGATGAGGGAGCAACCTCAAAATCGCAGGCGAAAGATGGGGGCTAGATCCTCCCGGTGGGAGAGACCCCTCTCGGCTACTCTCTTTCCTCAGCTCCGGGGCCGGCGCCTCCTAGTTCTATCCTCTAGCCCCTCGGGAGGCTCCGGGAACAATCCGGTTACGTCCGCTAGCGCTGGGGGACTATGGGTGCGCGGGGCGCCAGGAGGAGCGGGCTGTGCAGAACCGCCTGCCTGGCCTCGCTCTCAATCTTGCTTTTCAGACGACTCGCAGGTTCCTGGAAATGCAAACACAGCCCGTGCCTGATCCATGCTCGCCCACAGCCCGAGCGCACCCCTCCCTGCCTCACATCCCGTCGTTCACACTAACACGCACACATACGCGTGTGCAAACGCGCACGCACAGAGCTGCGCGCCCCCGCACACCCAGGCACCCTTGGCTTAGCCAGGTACCCCCACCCTGGGCGCCCGCTGGCCCGCCAGCCTCGGGCGCACCCCTCGCCCCCCCTCACGCACGCGCACGCATGCACTCCCCGAGCCCCCGCACCGGGCGGAGGCACGCGGTGGGTGGCGGGGTGCGGAAGGGACAGGCCAGGGACCTGGGAGTGGAGTCCCCCAGTCCATCCCGCGCTCGCCTTCCGCCAACTGCGTTCCTGCGCGAAGGCTCCGGGCTCCCCTTTGGCTCCCCAACCCGAAGAGTTGGCGCTGAAAACATTTAACCCTCCTCCTCCTCCCTCGAGGCCCCCCAACCGTCCCTGCGCGCCATCTCCCACCCCCACAAAAGGCCCGGACGGTAACCCCCTAAACGCGGCCAGAAGCGGCTCCTAACTCTTCGCTGGGAGCAGGCTGGAGGCTGGGTTTTAGAGAGACCCTGGATTGGGGTCCGTCGCCAGCCACTCCTCCTGGATTGGGCTTCATTTTCATATTTTAAAAGAGGATTTTCGTATTCCCTTTGAATACTTCTAAAAAAATTTCTGGAGGAGCTCGGTGGGAAAGATTTTGCGGGAATCTTGTTTTAAGAAAAAAAAAAAAAAGCACCGAAGGGGCATTTCTTAATTTTTCTCGGGTTTTGGAATCGCCCCGTGGAGGAGACAGCAAGCCATCAAGAGCCGGGAAGGAAGAGTGGAGAGGACCCGCAAGGCGCACCAGGCCGAGCCACCTCCTTCCCGGCCGCCCCCTCCGCTCTCCCCCGACACACACTCGCTTGCTTGCTTACCGGCGCCTGCACACCCCCCACGCCGACCCGCACCTCGGGCGGGCGCCACACACTCGGCAGCCCGAGCCGCGGCAGCCGCAGCGGGATGGAGGCGGCGCGCACGGAGCGCCCCGCAGGCTGGCCCCGGGCGCCCTTCGCCCGGACCGGGCTCCTGCTCCTGTCGACGTGGGTCCTGGCCGGCGCTGAGATCACTTGGGACGCAACGGGCGGTCCTGGGCGCCTCGCGGCTCTGGCTTCGCGGTCCCCGGCGCTGCCTCCTCTCTCGCTGCGGGCAGTGGCAAGCCAGTGGCCGGAGGAGCTGGCGAGTGTACGGAGAGGCGCCGCACTGGGGCGCCGGCCGGGACCAGAGCCACTGCCCCAGCCAGGCGGAGGCAGCGGCAGAAAGAAGCAGGGAGAAGCCGGAGGGCTGTTGCCGGCAGGCGCGCAGTGGGGACGGGGCATCTCGGCTCCTGGCAAGCCTGGCGGTACAAGGAGGAGTCGCCGGGCGCAGTCCCCCAGTGCCCTGGAACGCGGAGACACCCAGGCTACTGTCTTAGCCGATGGTTCCAAAGGAAGCCGGTCTCTGGCCAAGGGTCTCCGGGAGGAGGTGAAGGCACCACGGGCCGGGGGGTCGGCGGCCGAAGAGCTCCGGCTACCCAGCACCTCGTTCGCGCTGACCGGGGACTCGGCCCACAACCAAGCCATGGTGCACTGGTCGGGACACAACAGCAGCGTGAGTACCCACCCGGCGGCGGATCTCTCTGCCGAAAGCGAGGGAAAATGGGGCGGGGGGCGGGAACGATGGGCAGATAGTTGCTCTTGGTCTAGGTGGAGGCAGGGGCAGGGGGGCTTCTCGACTTTTAGGCAGACTGGTTCATCCCTCTCTCCCCACACCCCCAACAGGTTAGTGGAGTTTGTTGTAAGACAGCCTGTGCTTTTGTTTACCGGAGAGCCTAGGATTGGGGCCGCCCGGAGGGGAGAGGAAGAAGAGGTCCTTTACGGGATCAGTGCCCACTTTCTCTGGTACTTGGCTTGGAGAGTCAGTTTTCCTGTCGTGGGTGTGTGTGAATTCTTGGGTGAGGACACATTGATTTGGGGAAAGAACCGCTGGATAGACTGACGGGTTTCTGTGACTGCGCGGGCTTCCCCCCTTTCCCCTCCAATCACGCGAAGGAAAGCCAGGAGGCTGAGGCCACTCGGACTCTGGTACTCCTGCCCGCCGGGCTAGGATGCTGCCTCGGGCTCCAGGCGCACTTTCTTCCAGCCTTAGGGGAGGCTGGGCCTTCAGGCAACACTGATTCCCCCTTCAAAACCCAGGCAGCATACAGCTGATTCACTTTGTTAGTTATACAGGAGAAACTAACACAACACTGTAAAGCAGTTATATTCCAATAAAGATGTTAAGAATAAAAAAGAATAAAAAACCCAGGCAGCTGCCCCGAAAAGCCATAGGAGGGGCAGAAAAAAAAGTTTAAAGTGTGAAGTGAAATTCAACACCCATCCTGCACCCCTCGTTCTCACGCATGCACAAGCACACGTAAGTCGCTGAGCAAAATACTTGACCCGGCCGCTGAGTCCTGCAACGACAAACTCGCCGAGTTGGGTCCAGGTGCTTTCTGTGCACCTCTCCACGCCTCTCTCTCCGCTGCCAGGTTAACCTGGAAGCTGCTGTTCGAGAGGTGGCGCCCTGGAGTCCACGCCGGCGGCTCCGGCGCCCGCGGCCAGGCACCGGGCGCAGAGTACCGTCTGCGCAGCCCGCAGCTCGGGCCGGAGGAGCTCCCCACCCTAGCCCCCAGCTGGCAGCCAGCGCGTGCAGTCCAGCCCAGGATCCGCGGGGGATGGCCCTCGGGGAAGAGAGGGGACGGCCTCCGACGATTTACTCTACTCCCCTGCCTTCCTCGGCCCCCACTTCAGCCAGTCCTGCAAAAATCCTTTCCTCATCTCTGGCTCTGAGGATCAGATCAGAGCCCGGCACTGGGCAGAGTCTGGAGGATGACAGATGTCTATACTGGCAGCTTTGGGGAACTCATTTGATGGGAAAGCGCAGCCCCCGCTCCCTTTATATTTCTCTTCATGACTGACATTAAAGATTTCCCTGGGAAATTTTGGCCTTATTTTAACAGGGCCTGGGGGGTGTCACGGGGGTGAGTGGTGAATAACAGGAAAGCCAGAAGTCCGCAGAGAGCAGCACATCAGCAATACCGAGCACAGATTTCCTGGTTCTTACTGACACACAGCACCACGCAGGCAGCCCAGCCTGGGTTGGAAGCATTTGGGCAGCGCAGCTTACCAGCAGCGTGGTGGCTGACTCTGCCTGCCTCCAGGGAAGGCCCCCCGTAGCTTCGCAGTGGACAGCTCTGGACTTGGGCGGTGGGCAACCTGTGCATTTGGAGGGATGGGTGATTGAGGACTTACAAGTCCCGGAAGGACTGTGTGTGTGGGCGGGGGGGGGGGGGGGGGGAGGGGGGGAGGGGGGGAGAGAGGGAGAGAGAGAGAGAGAGAGAGAATTCTCTGACCGCAGGGATTGTGATTCTCAACTTCCTTTTAGTTTGATAGTGAGGAATTGTGTGTATGTGTGTTATTTTGTTCGTGTTCTTACTCCACGAGGAGGATGGACAGGATGTGTGGAAGTAAATGTACCCCTAGGAGAAGGAGGAGGTGATATCTTCACATATCTGTGATTTTAACACTGCCACATTTGGACAATATAAATTCACTCTGTCTAAAGAGTTTTTTTATGTTTCTGCTTTTATTTTAAGGTTCATTTTCGTGTGTTGACAAATTCCCCGAAGATGGGAAGTTAAAGAGTGCTTTCTGCAAGTACTAATTAAATGTGCATGGCTTTCTCTGCCCATCTTCAAGGCAGTTATACAGCAGAGGAAGTGAGTGGGCAAGTTTAGCCCGATACCCCCCAGGGAAATGGCTCTTCAGTTAAGAGGGGGTGCAGAGGGCCTGAGGAGTGGATCAGTTGGCCTTGGGGTCCTTAGTGACAGTGATACGATTTGGGCAGTTCATTAATAGCTCCTCAGGGATTCATTGGTTGTGCTTACGGCCAGTCTTACTGTCCAAGCAAAGGACAAGGCAGCACAGGTGAGTGCAGGGACCCCGTGGTGTCTACTCTCTCTGGTCCAGAGAGTTACTGCCTCTTTAGCTTTTGGGCTGGACCTGCCTCTTTTGATGATGCTTCACAGGCAATTCCAGCGAGAAGGGCTTCTTTGAGTGTACGTCTGTGCTGCTCTGAGGAAGACAAGGAAACAGGTTAACATGGGCCTGCCTTTAAGAGACTTTAAGGAAACAACCCTGGGGGAGGAGCTAGGAAACCAGTTTCTGCAACATTACCCAGTTGGTTTCTTTCTCCCCTCCTCCTTTCCTGAGGACAGCAAAAGAAGGCGCTGTTAAAATAAAGCCAGGGGGCTTCCCTGGTGGCGCAGTGGTTGAGAGTCCGCCTGCCGATGCAGGGGACACGGGTTCGTGCCCCGGTCCGGGAGGATCCCACATGCCGCCGAGCGGCTGGGCCCGTGAGCCATGGCCGCTGAGCCTGCGCGTCCAGAGCCTGTGCTCTGCAATGGGAGAGGCCACAACAGTGAGAGGTCCGCGTACTGCAAAAGATTAATAAGTAAATAAAAATAAAGCCAGGGTGAGGAGTGATGCAGATGATGTTCCTTCTGGAAGTTCCCTTTATCGTTGGTTTCAAAGTGGTTGGAGATGTCCCCAAGGCAGAGAACATGGGTCCTTGCACCAAGCTCTTTTGACATGAAAAGAGAATTCCATCTTCCCTTCTGACATAAAGGGTGTTAAACATGTCCTTCTCTGGGAAGGCCACCAGTTTAATTGTTAACACATTGTGAGGCTTCCCGCTCTCCCTCCAAGTGCCTCTGGTGGACCTCATTCCTGGCGTGAGGTCCTTTTTGGGGAGAGTTTCCAGTTACCCCGTATAATGGAAAATTGAACTCCACTCTGGCCGTTTGCGTTCAGCCATAAGGAAGTGGACATGCAAGGGAGGCACCTCCACCCCACACTATGTGCCCTGCATGTGCCCAGGGGCTGAGAGTCTCATTCTAGGCTTGAGTCACATATTCACTTTGGTCCCAGGAGTGGGGTGGGATAGCTTGGAGGGCAATGGGGGAGGCGCCCAGCAGGCTTGAGCCAGGAGGGGATGGAGTCTGTGTCCCCCTCTGACCTTTCTTGCCCTGCCACGTGTTTCGGGGGAGAGGTGAGTGGGCTTGAGTTTGGATCCTGTACTCTGCCTTATCCATTGGGCCACCGGGGCTGATTGGAGCCTATATTCTGGAAGAGCGATTTGCCTTTCTCTCTGGTTGTCTCCAGCTGAGATCCTGGTGATTGATGGGCTAGAGAGTGTTTCACAAACACCCAAAGGGAGTCCAGACCCTGTGGTTGACAGGGACACAGAAAAACACATCATTCTGCTCTTCTCCTTCAAAAGAAGAAAGGCGCCTCCTTGCTTGGTCAGTGAGTTGGCAAATGGCTCTGGAGAGTGGAAAGCTGTGAAGACAACAGCCCACTTTCTGGGCCCCCTCGGCATTGTAAGCCTTGATGGGGATCCCCTGTTCTGGTGCTGAGGTGAGAGTGCTGCACCCTCCCGTAGATTGATCCCTGATGCCTTTCCTGCAGCTCATTCCCAGAGACAGCGATTTGCAGGCTGCTACCCCTGCAGTGTGTCTGGTGGGAAGGACTTGCCAGATAATATTCAATTCATGTGCCCAACTCTGCACCTTGGTGAAGAGAAACAGGGAGATGCTGATAACCCGGCATCCTTACCCTGCTAGCAGGGGGAACGCACAGACTCTCCCAGGCACGATTTCATACCCGTAACTAATTCAGCTGGACGGTGTTCTAAAATATTTACTCTTAATGTGCAAAATAGTGACAGATTTGATCAGATTAATTGTGTTTCACTCACTGGAGCATCTAATTGTGGCTCCCAAACAGATTTTTCAAATAGCTTTTGGCTGGGTTGTCTAACCTCGTCCCCGCTCTCAGTCCCCGTGTCACAATGTCTTAATGCATTTTGCCTTCTCAGAGGCTTAATAAAGAAGCCTGCCACAAGCTCCATATCAAAAAAACAAACAACCCGATCCAGAAATGGGGAGAAGACCTAAATAGACATTTCTCCAAAGAAGATATACAGACTGCCAACAAACACATGAAAGGATGCTCAACATCACTAATCATTAGAGAAATGCAAATCAAAACTACAATGAGGAATCACCTCACACCAGTCAGAATGGCCATCATCAAAAAATCTACAAACAATAAATGCTGGAGAGGGTGTGGAGAAAAGGGAACCCTCTTGCACTGCTGGTGGGAATGCGAATTGATACAGCCACTATGGAAAACAGTATGGAGGTTCCTTAAAAAACTAAAAATAGAACTACCATACGACCCAGTAATCCCACTACTGGATATATACCCAGAGAAAACCATAATTCAAAAAGAGTCATGTACCACAATGTTCATTGCAGCTCTATCTACAGTAGCCAGGACATGGAAGCAACCTAAGTGTCCATCAACAGATGAATGGATAAAGAAGATGTGGCACATGTATACAATGGAATATTAGCCATAAAAAGAAACGAAATTGAGTTATTTGTAGTGAGGTGGATGGACCTAGAGTCTGTCATACAGAGTGAAGTCAGAAAGAGAAAAACAAATACCGTATGCTACCACATATATATGGAATCTAAAAAAAAAAAAGGTTCTGAAGAACCTAGG